CATTGTTTCGTTAAATTGTTGTGAACGTCCCTCCTACAAGTACTCTGCAGTTGGAGATACCTATGGAGGTGCCCACAGGCTTAAGTAAGATATACCAGGACCAGCTGGGGCAACCCCACTGCCTCTTCGGCAGGCAGGGCCCTCTGCAGATCAGGCACATCAGATGCTGCTCACAGCTGGAAACTAACCCTGGGGTTAAAAAGTCACCTGGCAATTGTGAGCCTCCTCACACCCTGTGTTGCTGAAATATGATATTTCCTGTTACTTGTGGGACCAGTAGTTGAGGTTATTTCAATTAAATGCACATCTGTGTTCAGAATACCCTATCACCTCTGCATTATATAAGCATGAACTTTCTTTTGTGGTTGGGATTCTGATGGTTAGGTTGATGTGGCTACAGGCACAGCACAATGAATCTCTGAGACCTGGGGTTGGACATAAACATCTGGGTTGCCTTGGTTGCCTCTGGTCTTTTAGATGATTAAGAGATTAAATTCTCACATATAGGGTCAACCTGGTGGCCTAGGGGTTAAATCTCAGTGCTATCACCATGAAGGCCTGAGTTGGATCCCTGGCCAGGGAGCTAACCCACATATGGCACAGCAGACCTCTCCCGTCTCGCCAGCCTGCTACTCCCCTCAGTATGTATTTCAGCAGATCCACCAGCTCTGCTCCCCACTGTCTCTGGTGAATCCTCTCATTCATCCCTGCCACGCCCCACCAGGCACCCCTGGCCTACACCCCAGTTCTTCTACGCAAAAATAAGTATCTTTAAAAAAAAATTCTCACATATAGTCAAAGTCAATCTCTCTCTCTCTCTCTCATACACACACACACACACACACACACACCCCTTCTCTTATGCATAAAATCATTGTCACTGAGTTTATTTCCATGTCTGAAAACAGACCTTTGTCAGCAAAGAACTTATCTGATTCAGGTCTCTGTTGGGTGGTTCAGTCAAGGTCACACCTACTCTTTGCCAACACATGGTAAAATAACATTTCACATAAACCGGTGCTACCACACCAGAGGCCGTGGCCTTCTTGACACCTAACATGCTGTTCTGTAACACTGAACCCCAGAAAAAGGGGTCCCGCTTTAGGCTACAGCTCATACTTTGGCAAGAACTAGCACTCTCATGAAAGCTCTACAAAGTTTGTTTAGCTCACTTCAAATGTTTTATTTTAAATAAATCATCCAAAGCAGATTTAATTCTTTACAGTTGGAAAGGAAGAAAGAACGTCCCATGTTATTAAAAAAAAGAAATGTTTCCCCTACTTCCCTCAGGTCTGATTTCAGAAGAACATATTTTTCAATTCTAATAGAATCATCATTGCCCTTTCAGATCACCCCTACAAAGACTGTCTTACTATGGGTGTGCCACAGTCTAGTGCCCCAATTAATTTTTTTTTTACCAATGGTACTATAAATTACCATTTCACTGACTATTGCAGAGAAAGGATTATAACAGTCTCCTATATATTTAGTTGAAGTTTCCCTTTTGCTATTTCTTCCAGAGATCTGAGAGAGCCCCCAAACACTACTGAGATAGACTAACCCAGTGGATAAGACAGAATTTTGTGGGATTTTAGAAACAAACAAGTTAATGTCATCACTCCTGGATAAAATTAAATACTTAACTACTACAGATAAAGTATATTTGAGAGTACTTGAACCTATACAATCAATTGATTTCATGTATGTATGTATGTACGTACGTATGTATTTATGTATGTGTACCTAAACATTTATGCTTGCCTCCTTTCAAAAAAAGGATTGTGAGAAGCTTATAGGCATATACATGTAGCATGTAAGTGTAGACCTATCAGATGAAGTGAGGATTAAGTTATTACTCAACAACCTCATTCCATTAGAGGTGGGATGCAAATGTTTGCTTCCTAGCAACTGAAGATGGTGAATTTTAATCAGTCAAGGTATAATTATGTTGTAGCTTTGTTCATTCTCATTTTCCCTTCATCTCCAGCTGAAATATGAGACATTATATTGTTCAATAAGTCAGACTTCTCTTCTGCAACCCGCTTGGATGTTCTGAATGTATTAAATAAAAATGTTCAATATTGAACTCATTAAAAATATATAGTTATGACTTTATAATTTTTTGGAGGGCTAAGCAATGAAAATACAGAAACACATTCAATTAAATCCAGATACTTCTGTCATTTTTTACACCAGCAGAAAAGCAACTTCATTTTACTCTCCATCTGACCACCAAGCACTGCATGGAAGTGACTGCAGCTAGTCCCGGAGGCGTTTATTTCTGCACTTGCCAGGGCTGTTACTCCTGGAGTATTTGTGGTTCTCAACCAGGGGTGAGTATATGCCCCCAATGTCAGCAGAATCTGTTGGTTGTGTCCTCTTGGGGGTAAGGGTGCTACTGGCATCTAACAGGTAGAGGTCAGAGATGCTGAATATCCTAAAATGCTCAGAACAGCATCCATAGAAGGCAGTATTTGGCCACACTGTAACACTCAGGTTGAAAACTCCGCAGTAACTAATGAAATTTGTATGTATATGTGTGATTTTATTGGAATAAGCTAGAAATCATTCATTTTCTGATTTTAGAAAACACTGGCCTTAGTTTGTATTTCAAGTTCTGTTTGTCTACTTTAGAAACTTCATACATCAGAAGGGATTTTTATAATTTATAGAGGAAAAATGAGACCAAAGATTTGTTCTGGATCCTGGATAGAATGACAAAAGAATTTCAAAATAGGAGGTATTTAGGCAGTAGCTAAAGGGCGTCAGAATAAATCTACCTGAATGTGTTTTGAAAATCTGGGCATTGCTTTAAAAAACTGGAAATCATCCCATCTCTTAGCTCAATCTGAACAAATAAACCTCGCCAAACAGAATGCATTTTACAGCATTGATGGAAGAATTGCTGGAGAGCAAGAGAGAGTAAACAGATGGAAAGAACACCAAAGGAAATTGAGAAATAGCCATCTGATGATATCATGTAGATTTGGACCAAGAACCACATGCCTGGGCTCTTCCCACACTGACCTGCTGGATGCAGGTGCAGAGTCAAGGGTCTCCCTGGTGCTCCAGATGAGTGACTTTTTCCCTTGTAAATTGCCTCTCTCAATGACAGAAGTTAAAGGCTCATTCACATGTTTGACACAATATAATATTTAGTATGACCAGTAAAACATTTATCATACCCTGCCTTCCACTCTTCCTCCCTTTCTCCCTCTTCCTCTCTCTTTCTCTCTCTCTCTCTCTCTCTCTCTCTCTCTCTCTCTCTCTCTCGTATCCTACATATGGAAAGGCTAGCTATGTATATGTAAACAAAAATGTGTTCGTATTTTCAACTTTATCAATCATCACCTTGTTGATTCTTTGAACATAAAGTCAGATAATTCAAGATTTAGGTTTCTGCACAGTATTGGCCATCTGTTTTTATTAAGCTGATGACCAGAGATTCTGGCTCACAGCAGTGTGATTGGCAGGTATGACCTATCTCTGCTCCTACAAATTGAAAGAGGTAAGTAGAAAGTGTTAGGAGTGCCTCCGAATCTGTCTCTACTTCAACTAGGAGATACTTTCTAGGGAAATACAAACATCTCCACTGACATGCTGCAGGAACAAACTTCCTCAATTTTGACTTTATTGTGCTCATCCAGAAAGGAATTAAACAAGAGGTAGCCTTTGACCCATCCGTAAACAAAGTTTACTCAGAGGAAGAATGGACTCTCTGGGAGAGTGATTAAATGTAATGGTTTAGACACATGTTTTAATATCAACTGGTGTGTTAACCATCACTAGTTCTTTCCTGGCATTAATTCCTGGACTCTACGAACGCATACTTGGTTGGCCCCTTTAAATTACTTTATAAACTTCACTTTCTTTAAAGAAAAGATCTTTCATTTAATCTATCATTTAATTTTCATTTATTCATCCAGCACTTTTACCCAGTGTGTAATCTGATAATGCTCTGTCTCAAAAATAGGGAGGAATAGAGTTGTCTATATTTACATAAAAACCATACAATAGAAACATAAATATATATATAATGAACCTATGTTTAAAAGAAAAAAAATTAACAGACCCAGGATAACTCTTAGCAATACAAACTCTGATTTTAGACAAGTGAAATAAGCAAACCTGTTCCCGCATGAAATCTGCTTTCAACTGTCATCAAAGCCCACTTCTTTAAGCCTGCCTGGCTCAGAACATACTGTCTAATAGATTTCATTACTTTGTTAATCCTGTTCATCATAAATGGAAACTAATTTGACAGAGACATTACTAACACTCCTCTGTCAATGAAACGCTTCAGAAAGCTATCCCAATGAATTTGAGGAGAAATGAAGTGTCAATTTGCTAATAGATGCAGGCATGGGGGGATGACATTAAACCTGTTGCTTTGCTCTGTCTGTGTGATTAGAATGTGGTCTCAGATGACTTTTGGAATTAGCCTTGTGAGACAGAACCCCCAGAAACTCAGTTAAAATGACAGGATGGCAAAACCGTTGCCAGGTCAACAACCTCTTATTTTCTCTTTGCCAACAGCAACACGGATGTGCCCAGGTGAAATGGTGAAGAGGCAGGTGGGTGTAGGAGGAGGAAGTAAGTGCAGCTGTTCAGCTTTATAATGACAGAATGAAAATCCCTCCTAGATTATGTATAATGTTTGGTTTTACTGGATATCATTATCTTAGCCACAAAGACTGCAAATGCTATTAGTATTTAAGACACACACTGAGTTATTTGGTCCTTTTCAAAACCTCATCAGACCATCTATCTTGTAAATTTCTCAAAGCAGCAAATTCCAGTGGAAACATCTACATTTGTCTCAATTGGACTTCTGTGATAGGTTTACAATTGACTTAATGTGTCTACAGGGAGGGAGGATGCATCCCGTCTTATACCTACAGAAATAAAACGTGCAGGAAACTCACACCACCAAATTTTCTTGTTGGACTATAAAAAACAAAGCAAATAATAATAGCATGTTTTCAAAGCAACAGACTTACTTTCAGTGCAAATAGGACAACATCCTTTTCTGTTGAGAATTTTACCCTAATTAGGAGAAAAACAAAAAGAGGTTAGTGTTAAGAAACAGGGTTCGCTGAGGACAAATATCTTTGTTAAATATAATACCAGATAAGTCAAATGAAAGCAGTGCAATCTGTATTTGAACTCAGTGCCCAGATGGTGATGATGATGGTGAAAATGAAGTTTCAAGTATCAGGTTCTAAGGCTAAGCAAAACCATTCACAAAGCTTTCCTGTTTTTATCCTCCCAGAAATATAATACCTGCAGGACTCATCGGTGTGATTTTTCTCACATGGAGAGAAGATGGAGACAGTCTGGACTGAACTTATTTATTAACACCCAAATCTAGCTCTTTTGAGACCAAGTGCATACAACACAAAAAAATGGGAGTTGTGCGTCAACCTATCTATCCAGGCAAGACCTTCCTTCTGCCTCTGTTTGTTGGAGGAACCCAAGAAACTGTAACCCAAGCTCTGGCCTCAGCCAGATCTAGAGATATGGATAATACCTGCATTACAAGTCAAACTCAGTCAGATTTCTTCTCTCAGACAGTGGTATGCCATCCAGGTTAAGTCACTGTTATGCTGTCAAAGCCAAGGAAGCTGCAAATTTGGAAATGCTAAGCTACATCCCAAGGCCTTCCTGGAAATATAGTATAACCTCCTAGGTTGCATTTCTTCCCATTTTTTTAATGCATACCTTTTAAAGGGGGAAGCATGTTCTCAGGCTCCATATCAGACAACGATACTGTCTTATTGCTGATTCAATGATTAATCACAAAACAAAAGTAATGTGGACAAAGATTAACTTTTAGGGGGCACCTGCTATATAACATTCTTATTAGATGGTTTCCTCATGTTACCAAACATCAGGTTAGTGACAAATAGTTCATGTTAATATTTATAACATGTTCGGTGCTGATATTATTATATTGTGCTGATATTATATTATTGTAATCACTAAGATAGACAAGAACTTGATTTCCCTTTTAATAGAAGAAGCTAATGTCATGCAACACAAGAGTGGCAGAGCCCTAAATCAAACCCAATTTGGTGTAAGCTTAAAGGCCATGTTCTCTCTGCTCTAGATTTGTATCTTCTTTCATCCTTAATCCTTAAGGAAATTTAATATTTATTGGGCATCTGCTATGCACTAGAAAGTGCATTCTTCAAACTATACCTCATTTAACTTTCACATCAACCCTTCAAATGCAAGTATCCTGTCCCTGGTTTACAGGAGATGGAAACTACGGAGACTGGCCCAGGCCAGGGTCATCAGGGTTCCACAGTGCAGATGTGTTCCCTTCACTTGTCCGCTACTAGTCAGTTGCATGCAGAATAGATTTAGACAGTCATGCAGAGCAGAAAAATGCTGGTTAACAATTGAAGACTTGGAACCATATCTGATTAGCTCTCGCAGTCTGTGATGACTTTGAATAAGATTTAAAACTCAGCTTCATTTAGGCTTGTCATGGTTTGGGCCATCACAGCATATTTTCCTTGCTGGAACTCTGTTATCTATTTCTATTTGGCACAGAGTCTCCTTTAACTTCTTGTGACTGAAAGCAGTGGAGGATGTAGCCAAAGGAGGTCAGCTCCACTCAGGCAGACAGAATGGTGGCTCCAGGGGGTGGTGAGTTTGTTCTCTACCTGAGGGGAGCAGAGCTACTTAAAGCCAAGACCCCAATAAAATTTGATACTAGGATCACATCTGTACCTCGCACCTCAACGGAAATGCCATCTCCCTTCTTCGGAAAAGGAGAGTGGGGCTGGTAATCCCACTTAATTGGACGGGAATAAGTCAGACAAGAGCCATGGAGGCAGGGCTGAGTTGAGAGGCTGATTGGCTCTGGGCTCTGGCTGCACTGTCACCCCCTCATTAAGGACAGGACTGCACCCATCTCTGGAGGTGGTCTGGCGCTAACTGGTGTTAATCTTGTGATATAGAGAATGTCTCATACTAGAGATGACTGTTAATGCCCTCCTGTTCCCACTGGTACCCTCACAAAAAGCACACCCTTGCCTCTGGGATGTTGCCAGGGAGTGCACAGGAAATGCAGCCACAAAATCCCTTCTCAACAGACCCACATACTTCTGAAGAGAGAGGGGTGTAGCATCCAGGCGAGAATACAGGCTGCCATGTATTTTTTTGGTTTAGTTTCCCTAGACAATGCAGGGAAGTGGAAGTCCATTTTTAACTGGATTTCTACGGTAGAACTAAGTTATCTTCTTAAGTCCTTTTGCTGGCCCCATGAGGAGGGAAAGTGTAGACCGGAGGAATGGCTGGAAAAATGCCTAGAAAAAGGAAAGTGGCCCCTGAGGCAGGAGCTGGGCACCGACAAGCTTAGACAAGACTCGGGGGAGAGGGGTGCAGGGAAAGGCTTCTGCAGGGAGGGATGGAGGCTCCTGGCCCAAATGTGATCCACAAAGAAGAAATGCTAACAAGACGCTGGTGACATGAAGATCGCTGACCTCCTCACAGCAAGAGACAATGCAAACCGTCAATCCCGCCACGGTGGCAGGACGCAAGTGAAGCTGGAAACTCCACACGGCCTGCTGAGGCTGGTTACTTGAGCCACCAGGTTGGCACCGCATCCTGTTTTTGTCTTGTAGAATAAGGAAGCCCATTATTACTAACATGTGCTGCAAGAGTTCATTAGCAGTGAGGGTTCCCCGAGGACTGGATAAATGATGTGATCCCACTTTTCCCAATGAATATTTATAAGCAGACCGTGTTCGAGTCTACTTATTGTATCTCCTTTTTTTCTTTTATGGGAGGTTTTCAGTTTTATGTCTGAGGCTTTTTAAAGCAAGACTAATTAGGGTTTTTTTTTTTTCTCCTTTTTTCCCTCCCCCCTTTATTCAGTTGTGCAATAGCAACAGCTGTTGTTTTTTTGTGCCTCATTTGGCACTCAAGTAAAAACAGCAACTTTTTGTTTATAATAATAACAGATGTGAATAAAATTAAAAGCTGTCTATAACAGAGCAGGGAGGACATGTCCTGAATATATGGATATATTTTCTCATTCACAGGAAGGTATTGAATAGGTTTGACATTTTCCCAAAACTCATAAAACCTTGAAAGGTTTCAAGTTGCTGAGGTGAATTCAATGAAACTCATGCTTCAGAAGATAATGGTTGCTTTATGCAATGCACTGGAACTATAGTTTCTGAAAAGAGATATTTCCATAAGGACGGTATTTCCATTTGGGGCTGTGATGGGGCCAGTGCCGGAGAGGGGAAAACATAAAAATGTAGAGGGGTTGGGGGTTTGCTCCCAGACAGGAGAAATCCTTTGGGGGAGGTATTAATAAGCAACCACATATTACTTTGAATGGTGATGAGAAGAAAATTCTGATTTGAGAAGAGAGGGAGAGAAAAGAGGGAAATTCAGAGGGTGGTAATGATGCTCAACAGAATGCCCAGCAAAACAAACGAGGGAGCAGACCAAGCAGATTCAAAGACATTAAAACAAAGAATTGGAAAAAGTCAGTAAGAAATAAAAGTATGAGACAAGAGACACGTTCAAAGTGATTTTCACCTAAGGCAAAAATTGCGTGGGAACTAACAAAAAAAAAAAAAGTAGCAGTAGTAAGCTTATGGGGGATGTGACTATTGGGAACTCAGGAGCTTCAGGGGATCTGGATTGTGTATTCAGAGACAGTACGTGAGCATGCCACACACAGCTTCCCAAGGTCAAGAGAAACACAGCCTGCACCATGCACGTACCTGAGGGCAGCTGCTGATGGGAACACACTGCTTCTTCCGACACTCCGTCCTGCCTTTCACACAGGCACAGATGGAGCAGTTAACAGAGGACCACATCTCTCCATCCTGCACGAGAGAGCACAGGGCACTGCTGTCAGCTGCAGGCTGATGAGAGCTAATCCAACAGGCTGGGACTTTTCTGGCAAGGCCAACATTTCTTACCCTGAGTGAGGGATGCCATCACAAGACTAAATTACACAGCAGTGTCTATCTACATCAAACCAAATTAAGAGAACAATTAAGATTGCAGCATACATGTGAGTGCATGTGTACGTATGGGTGCAAACCTGTGTTTGTGTGCGCGTGTGGGTGTGTGTGTATTCTCCTCCCTCAGGATTCAAAAAAAAAAATGCTTGTGTATATAATCAAATCACATTTGCATCTTGCTCCTCAAGCACTGTTCAGTTCATCTCACTCTGGGAGATGACCAAACATGACTTTCACACGAAATATAATAACAAGGGTGTGATTTTCCCCTATTTGATAGGACTGAAACGTCTGAGCCATTCCAGGCATGAGAAGTTAATTGAGACATCCAGAGGTGGTTAGTTTATTCCCAGCTGTGTTGTGGCGCTAGACCACACAGGACATGAACACGCAAAGAGCAGAGTCTAATTCAAATTAAAAGAACACTGCTCAGATGCCTGATGGCCAGGCCATCTGACAATGTGCAGCCAGACAGAATATACCTCGAGTGGCTCATACCATGTCCCTGCCTGACAGAGACTCACATCCCCAAAGGCTGGGTAGCACTTTGGTACATGTTTTCTAGCCCAGAAAAGACTTGTTGGAGGAATGTCTTTGACTCACTGGATTTTTAATCTACAATTGCCAAATGTCCAGCCAAAAGAAACCCTGTGCCTTTGTAGAGCATGCAGGAATTTGTGGAAAAAGTGGTAAGAGGCAACAGAGTTGGACCTGAAAACAAAACAAGGATTCTTTCCTGGGATCCAAGCAGCAGATTTTGTTAAAAACAGAGAAACAAACAGATCTTTGAGGACAGCTCCTCCACTTCCTCTTCTTTCTTACTTTTGAAGTTATTTAAGGACTGCTTGCTCTCTAGTCCCTTTTGTTTCTTGGGAGAGAAAAACTAGCTGAACTGTCTTAAAAGGACACCTGACTGCCCCAAGCCCTCTGGGTATACATTTCTAGGCCTCAGTGTTTCAAATGACCCTCTGGAAATTATTTTAGGCTCATTCACATAAAGGAAACATTTTACAAGCAGACCCGAAAGCATTTTGCACCCAGTGCTGTCAAGACAGTGGATTCACGGCTGCCCTGTAGACAAAGGATGACTTCATGGGATGAAGACACACATGGCACAGTTTCCCACTCAGGCATCCAAAACAAGCAAGCAAAAAAAAAATGTAAAGCACACTTGAATGGGGGCATCAGAGGCCAAGAGCCAAGCCTAATGATTTAATGGGGACAGGACGCTCACACCTTCACTCAACTGCTGTGCCTGCCACTGGGAATACCCAACTCTCAACATCTTCCACATGGGATGATTCAATCCTCTTTAAAAAGCAACTTTGTATAAAGTTCCCCAAAAAAATCAGACTATAAACCTTTCAGCATCTGAGCAAAGGACACTGAGCATCTCTAACAGAAGGAGATGCTCCTGGACGCCCAACTCCCACAGCCCCTCCAGAAGAGGCCATGTTCAACTGAAAGTCAATTACTAGGTGATCGTATTAGAAAAGGTAATACTGCTTCACAGGTTTAAACTATTTGATGAAGCAAAAATGAAGCCAAAGAAAAACATTTTTCAAACAATTGCTTCTCTACCCCATGTCCACTTGTTCCTAAATATATTTGTGTATAATATTGTGATAGAAAAAAAGTACATTATATATACATATACACATGTACATAGCACACATAAGATATGAAATAATCCAATTTGCATCTTTTCTGGAGCATTAAAGATACAGCAGTTTCTATGATACAGCAGTTTCTACAAGCTCATGACATACCCGGAAAATCTTGTTGCCAAACTTGCATACTTTGACGTCCTCTGGGGGCACTCGTAGGAGGCAGTCTTCACAACAAGCATCCTCGCCTTTGTCACAGCTGCCAGGGTGGGAACACTTCTTCTTACACACTATAGTAGAGTCCTGGGGGCCCAAAGACAAGCTAGAAATTAAAAATGAGTTCTACCTCTACCAAACATGATATCTGACCTCCTTTTAACCACCCACAAACAAGTGCTTTATAACACAGCCTGTAGACACACTGGTCTCTGTGGTGGCAATCAGTCTCTCTTGGGTCCATCCGTGACTTTAAGCCACCTTCTGTGAGTTCCATGTAAAGACAGGAGATCTTTCACCATACAGTAAAATTAAAAACTAGAATTCTTACGCAAGATGAATTTTTTTAGCATGCTCTATGTTCTCAAAGGAGCTGAGCCAGCAGTTTAAAAGCTGGGTCTGGCTCCTAGGAGTTTGCAGTGAATGGGGACCCTCACCAGGCTACTTAACCTTTGAGGGTGACAAGTTTAAGTCTGTCACTTAGAGGGTATGGCTTGATTTATAAAGTGCCATTCCACATTAATAAAAATGAATAAATACATGAATATTCATTCCACATGAATAAAATTACCAAGTAAATCATGCCTATTGATTCAGACAACCCACTGAAGAAAGAAGTTCAGAGTAGCTTGAGAAAGAAGCTTGTTGCAGCCAACCAAGTGCAATTTTACCTAGAGTAGGTTTCCAGCTGTAATGACTAGAAGAATGAAGCATTTATGAAACTAAGTAGAAGACATGGCCAGAGAAAGACATGACACAGGGTAGATTAGTAATTCCCCAAAAGTATTAAATTAATGTGAAATCAATGGAAAAGAAATAAGGCCAAACCATTTTCCAAGACACAGACCCTATTAGCAAGTTCTGAGGGAGCATTATATGCAAACAGCTGTGTAGATCAACATATATAACTTCTGTATTTTCTATGTTTGTCTATGATTTCAAGAGGTACTTCCAGTACCATCTATTATACTAAATGAAGGGTGCAAAAAATAGACTTATCTGTCTATAATTAATATGACCATGAGATGATTCTCCCTCCCTTTCCCCAGTTGCATTTATCATCTTTTATTTTTAAGGTTCTAACCACACCATATAGTGGATAGGATTTAGAGTTGAACAAGATCAGGGTAGAATGCCAATTTATTTTATTAGGTGTTTTATCTTGAGCAAATTCATCTCTCTGACTCTCATATTCTCCATTTTCAAGATGGACATGATAATACCTATTTCTCAGTTTCCTGTGAAGTATAAATAAAATATGCAAAGTACCTGGCACAGAGCTTAGCACACAAAAAATTATCATAAATCAGCTCAAAAACTGGGGAAAAATTCACTGTGAAACAGCACGTCCTGATTTACACCTTGAAAAAGAAATAATGCATTTTTTTCAATAATGCTCTCAAATAATGTATTTTTCCAGGTAGATGTCCCAATTATAATTAAAGACACACAGAGACACACACATGTGCACACAGCACTTGTGAGGCTGTGAGCCGGCACTGACTTAAGCAATGAGAATAGATAGGTAAATATACTTCTGTCCTCAAGGAACTCACAGTGTAAGAGGAGAAATAACCATGTAAACAAATAAATTGCAATATAACATAGTAGCAAATAGCACTAGAAAATGTGCAAAGGCAGCAGAGAAGAGATAATAGTCTATCAAGGTGGGTTTGGAAAGCTTCTCTGGAAGGTGACATCTGAGATAGATTGTTGATGATAAAGAGGAGTTTACTAGTGAAAATATAAGAAAGTGGGGACACTGATGGAAAGGAATTGCCATATTGGTAGACACAGAGCTCTGAAACTATTATGTTCAGAGAACTATTAAACAGCACCTGTTGTGTTACTGAATGGGGATCCTAGAAAGATAGACAGAAAATAATATTGATTATCCAAAATGATTACAACCTGATTATTCAAGCTTCCAACTTCCCAAAGATGACTGCAAATTCCTACCCTGGAATTCTCTTGGAGGAAAAGTGTTAATTACACTTTTCATCAAACACTGGGATTTATTGCCTAGATAGCTCTGAAAGAATCCATGAGCAAATCCAAAACACTGTATGCATAACTAATCCCACTGATGGAATGCCTGATTTTATTGCAATCAAGACAACTGAAATGTTAAATTTTTCATCAAAGGCTCAGTATCCCCAAGAGGAAGCTATAACCTGTGAAATTACCAGAGGGGAAGAGAAGTCCTGAGAATGGGGACCAATGAAAATGCAAGGAGTGGTTATATATTAACATAAGACAATACCAGCCATGGGAGAGAGGAAGGAGTCTCAGGAAAGTATTCTGGGCTTTTTAAGAATTACCCTATATCCAGTGCCAAGGAATAGACATCTCAGTCCTAACACAGCAAAGAAGTGCATGCCTTAAGTAATCTGGAACTTCTGAACTGTAATCCCAGCTACTGACTCAAAGCTAACATTGAACAAAAAGCACCTCTCTAGCTCTTTAGCTATTAAAAACAACAACAATCACCACCAAAATGTATTATTCTAAACTGTGTCACATAGCTGTTTAGATTAACTCACTAATCCCAAAGTCTTTCATGTGAACAATTCTCTTCTTGTATTCAAAGACAAATCACTGCATACATATAGTTTATAAATGTGTGGTGTGTATCCCTTTAAAATTCTGGAACTGTGAGATTCTTTTCTTACCAATATTTAGACTTTGGTTGGTTGCTTGTTTTTTGTTTGTTTGTTTGTTTGTTTTTTGAGAAAAGTGAGTAATGCTTCAAGTAAGAAGTGATGACCATATATGAATACTCTCTTCCAAATCTACTAGATTTATCTTTGTGATAAACTACAAATTCACACCTTTTCTTTTGTCTTGAATGTGATAAAAGTGATTTCTATTACCAAGTTTGTCAGAGATTTAATCTTGGATAAATGGTGTCAGAAGATACAGCCACATGTATCTATTTATCTAAGTCTAGAAAATTCCTGAGGATAGACCTTCAGAGTTACTTCTCTCCACCAGGAAATCATCTCTTGGTCTAGGGAAGATCCCAGGGAGTTACATTTCGGTTCTCTGCTTGAACTTTCTTGAGATCCTCAAATTCTTGAGATTCATAAAATAACATTAATATTGCCTCCACCAAAAAAAATTACACATTATTATGTCTGGTCATAATGTTAGTACTAAATCCCAAAATACTGTCATCATGGACCAGCCCCTCAGAGCAACCTTACCCTGCAGGTGCATGAAGTGCAGTTGTCGTAAAGAAAGGATGATCCGTTGTCATAAACATCACTGCGAAAGAGGCAGCTTCCAAATGGGAGGTCAAACACTTTCCTCTGCCCTAAGGGGAAGCAACCACACAGTATAAGCAAGACAGAAGTCAAGGATGTGCCACTTTGTCATTAGCAAATACATGTCAGGACTGTTATGTTAATTATGGAACCAAGGAAAACGGGAAGTCAGAGATAACCTCTTGGAAGATGTGATGCCTGAGCAGCATCTTTGAGAACAAGTAAAATTATCCAGAAGGTGGGTTTGACAGGGAAGAGGTAGAAGCCAAGATATAAAAGAAGAATCAATGATATGGAGCTTCAGCTCAAGAAATCACAAGTCTGTTGGCACAAAGGGTGAAACTAATTCAAAGAGTACATAGAGGCAGCTCCACATGCCAAGCATTCAGTCTTTCATAGGCTTCACATCTCTGTAGAATTAGTTTGATTTTCTCTGATGGGAACACTTGAACGTTGTCCAAAAGGACTGTAAAGGCAACCAAAAATAGGGAGCAAAATCTAATTTCCTCTTTTCATTTAGTATTTTGAGTTTCTACTCCCTGAAGCATAAAAATAAAATAAAATAAAATAAAATAAAATAAAATAAAATAAAATAAAATAAAATTCCTAACATGTTACTTTAATTATAGCATCTAGCAAGATGGTGGCAGAATGAAAACACTGGACTCTACTCCTCCACACATTCACAACGAAAATACAACTAAACAAACAAACCCTGGAAGATAAACATGATTATTGCATACATGAAGAAAAATGGCATGCAGAAAAGGGGTAGGAAAAACTATAAACTACTTAGAGTAATACCAGGCCAATACCACCCACAAGAAGGTGTCATGGTTGCCACATGGAGCCTCTCTGCAGTTGTAACTCAAAAGCACACATCTACCTTAGGGACATTTAAAACCAAGCACTACACTGGGGTACACAGAGTCAGTGTGAAGGACAGGTGATACTACAGTAGTAAGCATGCAAAGTAGTAAGCTGAAACAGTCCTGTGGAAGAAAGGAGAAAAATGAAGACATACTATCACCTGACTTTCAACTATGCTATAAATTAACAGAAATTAAGACAATATGGTATTAGCATAAAAATAGACATATAGCCCAATGAAATAGAATCAAAAGTACAGAAATAAATCCACATATATATCAATAATTAATTCATGAAAAATAACAATGGGAAAAGGAAAGCCTCTTTAATGAATGGTGCTGGGAAAACATGTGAAAGGATGAAATTGGATCGAGCTCTAACTCCATGAACAAGAGTCATTTCAAAATGTATTAAAGATTTAGATGTAAGGCCTGCAACATTAAAATATATAGAAGAAAATACTAGCCATAAGTTTGATGACATCAACGATAAAGATGTTTTTGGAGACTGAACTCCTACAGCAAAGGAAATGAAAGGAGAAACAAACAATTGGGATTAACTCAAATTGAAAAGCTTTTACACAATGACAAACATGTAAGTGATTAAAAAGACATCCTACTGAATTGCAGAAAGTATCCACACCTTACACAACTGACAGGAACTCATATACCAGGTATACGAAAATTTATATGATTTAACAATAAAGAAACAAACAACCTAACTAATAAATTGGCAGCAAATCTGAGCAGACAGTTCACCAAAGGCAACATTCTCAAAGCTAATAGATATATAGAAAAATGTTCAGCATCACAGCTTTTAGTAAGAAAGATAAAGTTCAAAATAGGATGTCATTGGGCCTCCCCTGGTGGCACAGCGGTTGAGTGCTGGGCTGCGAAGCTGCCCGCAGCCTCTGCAGCGCCGGTTCGATCCCTGGCCACCGCGAGGGTCCCACATGGCACACAGACCTCTCCTGCCGCCCGCTGCTCCCCTCAGCAGTGTACTTCGGTCCTTCTGCCTGTTCTGCTCTCCGCTCTGGCTCTGGTGGATTCTCTCACCCTCCCGCACTTCTGACTGTACCCAGTGCTCGTATAAATAAATAAATAAATCTCAAAAAAAAAAAATAGGATGTCATCTCATACCCGAGAGAATGGCACATATTAAGAAGATCCCCCATGCTCAGCGAAATAAGCCAGAAAGAAAAAGAAAAATACCGGATGGTCTCACTCATAGCAGGAATCTAGAAAACTTAAATAAGGGACCAGGAAAATGAATAACTATAAGAAAGTGAAAATCAAAATCAACAAAAAACTATGAACCAGAGACACTTTTTGGGGGGTGGGGGTGGGAGGGGAGGGATTGGGATCAGAATGGGGGGGTTGCAATTGTATGGGGAATATAAAAATAAAATTTATTATTTAAAAAAAAAAAAAGGGCCTCCCAGGTGGCGCAGCGGTTGAGTGCTGGGTTGCGAAGCTGCCCGCAGCCTCTGCAGCGTCTGTTCGATCCCTGGCTGCTCCCGCCACCGGAGGAGGGTCCCACATGGCGTGCAGACCTCTCCTGCCGCCCGCTGCTCCCCTCAGCAGTGTACTTCGGTCCTCTGCCTGCTTTGCTCCCTGCTCTGGCTCTGGTGAATTCTCTCACCCTCCCGTAGTTCTGACTGTACCCAGTGCTTGTATAAATAAATAAAAATAAATCTTAAAAAAAAAAAGAAGATCCCCAACAATAAGTGCAGGAAAGGATGAGGAGAAAATGGAACCCTATTATAATCCTATTATTGCCTTAAAAAAGAAAAAAACTAGAAATGGAAATGCCATTTAACCCAGAAATTCCACTCATGGGCATCTACCTAAAGAACTTGAAGTCATCCACTGAAAAGATCATAGGATCCTCAATGTTTAATGCAACTTTATTTAAAATATCTGGGACATGGAAATAACCTAACCGCCCACTGATAGAAGACTGAATTAAGTAGTTGTGATATAGCCACACAAAGGAATGTTATTCAGCAAAACCAAATGTTGCCATTTATAGCAAAATTGAAAGAATGCAAGGGAATTGTGTGCAGGAAAGCAAGTCATAATGAAAAAGATATATTGGGCTTTACATAGCAAATGATCCGACAAAGCAAAAATACTTATAAAAGCTAGTGGACTCTAATAAATGAATTGAGGCATCTCAGGTTAAGAAGAAAGGGGGATAAAAGGTCAGAAGGGTATAAGGGATGGCGGTGGGGAAAAAGAGAAACATTGATAAATTTAACAACCTGAAATAAAATATTCTTAATTTTTTTAAATCAAAAAATGAAAGAAAAATAAATTAAAATAATTCTGTTATATTTATCTTGTAGGCACAATAGGAAAAAAGTTACTTTGATTACACAGTAAGTTGAAAAGGCAAATATTCATTTTCACTCATCTAATTTACCTTTGTACCCTCTTTCTTCTTGTAAAAGATTAAAAATAATCTTTACTTTTCAATAGACCCCCATGACATGCTGAAAATACCTATAAATACATGATAAATACTGTTCTTAGAACTGTTGGAATTACTGTTAGGAGTCAAGAAATCTGTTATTTTCCTCTCAGAGCCAACCTCACAATTAAATCATTTATTATATCATTAGTTTATATCTCACCACCAGCAGCAAACTTGTTGTTCTTTAAAAGATGATAATGGGGGGGCCTCCCTGGTGGCGCAATCAGTTAAGACACAACCTATGAAGCTCTCCGCAGCCTCTGCAGCACAAGTTCGATCCCAGGCTGGCCAGGGAATAAAATTCCACATGGCGCAGCAGACCTCTCCTGACTTGCCCGCTGCTCCCCTCAGCAGTGTACTTCAGTCAATCTGCCTGTTCTGCTCCCCACTCTGTCTCTGGTGAATCCTCTCACCGTCCACACCTCTGGCCTGTACCCCACTCTTGTATGCATAAATAAATAAATCTTAAAAAAAATAAAAGATGATAATGAGTTATATTGGGGTGCCACATATGGACTCCCTGGTAACAGTGCTTTATAATCCAGGCCTCACTTCCCTCATAAAATTATATATATATATATATATATATATATATATATATATATCTCCAAAATCTCTTTTATGGTCAAACAAAATTTAACACAATGACTATATTTAAACCTAGCAAGTATTAATACTCTCAACTAAAACAAATATTCATGTGTGTGTGTGTGTGTGTGTGTGTGTGTGTGTCTGTGTGCACGCGTGGGTGTGTGTGTATTCTTAAAGTTTCTGAGAATTTAAAGACTAAATTAAAGAATTACCTGTAAAATTCAAAATTCATCTTTTCTTTAGATTTTCATCTAGGGAACCCCCAAAGGGTTATCTATCTTAAAGCACCAGAATCTGGACACAGACCAAAGTACATGAATTTGGCCCACCCCATCAAAATTGCTTCTGTTACAATTATACTTGCTTTTAAAACAGTTTAGTATAAGAAACATCATTCACTACAAAAATGAGGTGAAGTTATTTATCACTACTTCAAACACCCTCCTCTTTGTCATTCCATCAGAGATATATTCCTATTCTTTAATAATTAAAAATAGCTCTGCTTCAATTGAACAATTTTTTAAAATTGTGATAACCTAGTTTGCTGCTTTCCTATATTTTATCTACATGTGATTCATGTGTTTTGTAAATGTACTTAAATCCTTTTTGGTAAAGGCGGGATATAAGTGAATAAATAGATGCTGTCAAACGTCCTTCCCCACCAATCAAAATACATGTTCTTCGAGGCTGAACTCCATATTGTCTCTTCTGTGGCACTTTCATATTGTGGAGTGAGCAGCCCCTTCCTGTGTTCCCATAACCTGTTGCTCATACTGCAATGATTGTGATAATATTGTTGCATGGGGTGGATGAATGGATCGTGGATCAACGAATTCCTGAACAAATGTGACTAAAGGCTTAAATGATCCCTCAATAAAATGCAAACTTTACTTAAATATATTGATATAAAGCTCTTGGCACAGACCCTGGCATTCATTAAACACCACCAGTAGGTGGCCGATGACCAGGACCATCATTACCAGTGCCGGGCTGGGGCACTATGACAGGTGCAGTAGGTGGTCAGTGTACACTGAGCTCTGATGAGTTTCTTCACTGAAAATGAGAAAAGAATGTTCTAATCCAGAAGACAGAGGAATGCCACGTGAACAATCCTGGCCAAGGCAAAAATGAACAGCAAATCAGTGACCAACTGGCCAAAGCCTATGATTGCAGAGTCTAGAAAGCATTCTAGTTTGTTTGTTTGTTTTTTTTCTATCTGCCTTGTGTGGGGGTATGTTTCTTTTTTACCCCCAAAGAATATAAAATCTTATCTTTATCCTAGTGATCATGATCCAAACAAGATGAAACATTCATAAGACCAGTTTACAGATTTCACATGCAGCCTGATTGAAGCCATTTTCACTATTCTGCTGGGGTTTGACCCAACCAAAAAAGCACTCACTTGGAAGAATTATGATTTTCAATTTTCTACAATTTGCTATTCCTTCATCTCCTGTCTTAGGATCACAAATGAACAGAGAAACCTGCATTTAGTACAGTATTCATTGTTTGTGTGCGAAACCTCTAAGCTAACTCAGCATATCTACAGTACATCTAATTAATCCTTGATGCCAGGCCCAAATGCCACCTCCTCCGTGATATCTCTCCCACTTACATTGCAAACTGCTTCCACCATCACCCAGAGTATGATCATTTCTACCACAGTGAACGGGAGAACTTTATTCCAGGGACACAAGCACATGGACCAGAGGAAATGTCATTAAACAGTGCTTCTTTGTTCTTATAATGAGTTTATATTTACTTTAGAAGTATATGCATGTGTGTGTGTGTGTGTGTGTGTGTGTTCGTGGACATGCATAAGAAGACAAACTATGTAAAAGGTAGCAGAAGAATTCCTCAAAAAGGAGAAAACTGCCTTAGTTTAACAGGATGTCTTTACTTGCCAATTTGGTGGAAAGGCATGCCTGTGACAAACTGGGAATGAGGAAAATAAATAATGGCATGATTTGGAATTGGGAGAAATAAATTATGAAAGAAAGAAGAGTCCAGTAAGGGGAAGCATACTGGGAGCCAGGAGCCCAAATAAAAGAGACAATCAGTGAAATTTTCCAAAAGGCATAATAGCTAAGACCTTGGGTTTTTTTTTTTTTAAGATTTATTTATTTATTTATACAAGCACTGGGTACAGTCAGAAGCGTGGGAGGGTGAGAGAATTCATCAGAGCCACAGCAGGGAACAGAACAGGCAAAGTGACAAAATACACTGCTGAGGGAAGCAGTGGGCATGGCAGGAGAGGTCTGTCGCGCCATGTGAGACCCTCGCCAGCAGCTGGGGATCGAACCGGTGCTGCAGAGGCTGCGAGCAGCTTCGCAGCCCAGTGCTCAACCGCTGCACCACCAGGGGAGGTCCAGCTAAGACCATTTAAGAAGAAATGAGCTTAAAACTCTTTTTTTTTAAGTTATTTACCATGTTCTCTGTTATCACCCTCATTATCCAAATCCATCAGTAAAATCTGTTTGACAAGCCTTGTTTCAGTAACACTATATTGATACAAAAAAGACTGGAAGAGGTGATGGCTGGGAAATTACAAAATATGTTAAAAAAAAATAAAGAGGAGGAGGTGGTGGGAGGGGAACAGGGTGAAGGGAGCCGAGAGATAGAAAGAGACTGCAGAAGCAGAAACATAAAGCCACTCGTGACTAGAGAAAATATTGGCTCCCTCAAGGATTCCTGGAGTTTGGGGGCAGGGAGGATCTGTATGGTGTGCCAAGCTAATTTTATTTGAATCTAGTCTGACCTCAGCTAGCTCAAGGGCCTAGGAATGATTAGGGAGCAGAGATATGGATTATAGACAGAAGCCAAAAAAACTCATGCTCTAGAGACTCCCCTTCTGGGTGGTCTCCTTTCAGTTGGCAACATGCTCGCTGCCTCCAGGTCACCAGGGGAACTGAGGTGCAGCAGGTCAGAGCATGGACTTAGGAATCACACCAGGTGTTCAGGTATCGACTCCAAAACTCACCATCTGGGCCACCTTCTAGGGATCTACTTCCCTTTTAGTAATAAAACGAATAACAGCACCTATATCACACGGCAGTGTTGCAGGATATATTTAATACATATGAGTCACAGCTCAGAGAAGATTAAATGAGAAAAAACATATAAAATGCTTTGCATGATGCCAACTACATATCAAATGCCAACATGGAATAGCTAAGGGTGAAGGATAGAAACTGGACTCTTGGTGGTGATCACAATGTAGTACATGCAGATGCAGGATGATATGATATTCCTGAAACCCACTTATGTTATAAACCAATATTACTTCAATACAACTTTTAAAAAACTTTTGAACTATTATAAGACCTTAATTATGGCAACATGTTCATTAAAATTATTGAACTCCCCTTTCAAAAAATAAAAGGAAATAGCTACTACTCCTTTGTGTTGGCTATTATGCATTAAATCCTTCCAAATTTTCTTATTTGGGAAATGCTATCCTCCTGCAGAGTTTTGCCTCTAAAAGCAACACTGGTCGGGCCTCCCCTGCTGGTGCAGGTGGTTGAGCGCCGTGCTGTGAAGCTGTCTGCAGCCTCTGCAGCACTGGTTTGATCGCAGCCGACAAGCGAGGGTCCCACATGGCGAGACAGACCTCTCCTGACTTGCCCACTGCTCCCTTCAGCAGTGTATTTCGTCAGTCTGCCTGTTCTGTTCCCCTCTCTGTCTCTGGTGAATCCTCTCACCCTCCCATGCATCTGGCCTGTACCCCGGTTCTTCTTTAAAATAAATAAATAAATCTTTTTAAAAAATAAAAAAGTAAAATAAAAGTAATACTGGTCTAGATTATTCCATGTATTACTTCAGAGGCCTCTAAAGTACATCCCTAGTAATCATCATAAGCCTAATTAAAGATATTTTCTTTAATAGAGTCCTCCCTAAGAGGGGATGGAGAGGGAGAATGTCTGATGTACCAGGTTTACAGATACAGGGAGAGACAAAAGAGAAGAAACCTCTGTGGAGGCCTCATGAAGATACCAAACACTGTACACACCTTGCACTGCCATCACCAGGCATAGTTATCTCTAACAAGCCATGAAATAGGACTACCTAGGAACCCCAAGATAACAATGAGAACAAACACTCTGAGCAGAATCTCTGGGAATAAATGACAATGTTCTTTGACCTGAAAACAGTCACTCACCCAAACATTTGGGGCAGCACTGTCCTGGGGGGATGTGGCTAAGGTGCTGGGGACAGGAAAGAATGGGACAGACTTCTCTCACGCACTGTGTCCTGCCTCCCTGAAGAAAAGAGAGAAAAAGGCACATTTAGAAAAGTAAGTGCATATATATCGTGTAATCAATATATCTGGAACAAACCTACGACCTTCTCTGATATTAGGTCCTTGGGCTGTCTGCTCAGGTCCAAGTAATTTCTCCCAAGAATGCTTTTATCTTCCCTGTAGACCAGTACCTGCAAAAAGACTGCTCCTAAAAAAGGTCACAATATTACTCTCCCCGCCCTCCACCATTTTCTTGTTTTCCTACACAAGACCAATCAACTGTCTTATTTTGCTTGGGCATGAGACATTCAGAACTAAAATCAGGAAAATCTCAAGCAAACCAGGATAAGTTGGCTTCCCATTCCAACCTCCTTCAAGCAAAGGAACCCTCTGAGTATTAACTAAGACTGTGCCTCCTCCTTTAGACCCCATCCTTCTGCAGACATCTTTCTCCAGGAAGATGTCACTTCCTTCAGGAAGGTTTCCCTTCCTGCCTCAGCTTAAAAGTGTTTCTAGGATGGTTCAATGAGGATTGGATTAGATGAAGCAATTAATTTGCTAAAATGGATACACTACAAGTCATTTCACTGAATTCACAAAACTGACCAAATGTGTTTTCATTAATTATAGAGTTTAGGGCCTCCCCTGGTGGCTCAGCGGTTGAGCGCTGGACTGCAAAGCTGCCCACAGTCTATGCAGCACCAGTTGGATCCCCGGCTACTGATGAGGGTCCCACATGGCGTGACAGACCTCTCCTGCCGGGCCCACTGCTCCCCTCAGCAGTGTATTTCGTCACTCTGCCTGTTCTGTTCCCCGCTCTGGCTCTGGTGAATTCTCTCACCCTCCCGCACTTCTGACTGTACCCAGCACTTGCATAAATAAATAAATCTTTAAAAAAAATTAGAGAGTTTATACCAATTGATATTAGGGTTTATAGAAATCTTCCTAGTCCCTCCATTCTTGATCTTTCTGTTCTTCAGCACTCATTACCACTAACACCCATTCTTCATTTCTTTACCTCTGCAGTGCCTCCTCTCCCCATTCTCCACCCACCCATGGGTGTCTCTCCACTCTTTAGAATGCCAAGATTCAGTATGCTGACTCCTGCTGCCCAACCCCCCAGCAGAGGTGCTGTTTTTCTAACCTTAACAAGTTGTAACTGAATCTTCAGAAGGATGGGACAGAAAAAAAAAGTGCTTTCCAGTCAACTTACAGACAACAGCTTTGCAAAGGTGATGGAAAAACTATTCTGTGTCATAGGAATTGCTGTAAAATTTATGAATAATTTTTAAAAAATTAGTAAAATTGTTAAATAGGTCACTAGGCAAAAGGAATTTCAATAGATTGGGAGTTTTCTGGAATTTGAACTAGAAACCAAAGTAATAGAAGGCAGGTACATGCTGTATCAAGCCAGTAATTTCTGCCTCAAGAGGCCACAGAGCTGAGGAACTCACACCTCCAAGAGCAGTGGGCCTCCCAAGGGAGAGATGCCCTCAAGGCATTTCCTCATACCTTCCTTACACTTTCTGCACTAAAAGCAGACATCCACAGTCAGGATCAAGTTCATTCCCACCCTTCTCGCTGCTGTTGAATGTTGTCTCTGTTCTGGCCATTTTTATTATTCATTTTTTGTTAGGGCTGGATGAAAAGGGTAGGGGCATTATGTCTTTTTAAATATTTATTCTTTTTTAGCTGCTTTCATGTTGAATCTTTCCCTAAAAAGAGAACATGTAGAAATACCACAAAGAGCTCTTCTGTTGTTTTCACATTATTTCCAGATCAGCAAGCCTCATTTAAAATCTCCTAAGAATCCCTGACTGTTCTCCTTGAGAGTGCTCACTCAACTCTGCATGATCCTGAAGTTTGGAGCCTTTCATCAGATTTGAGGGGTAGAGTACCTGAGCTTTAGGTCAGACTCTGGATCCACCTCAGCTTATACATAAACCAGAAATCAAATCTGGAGGGAGAACATAAGGCTTTTAATTTTAAAGAAATTCATCTGCAAGCAACTTCTAAAACCTTGACGCCTCGGGCCACACGAGGTTGCCTGTGTGTTGGCTTCTAGATGCACAGAGAACACATTCTTTTCATCGATAGTCTCTGTTCTTGTTGGATCAGCATCTATTTTTCAAGCATATTTTAAAATTAAAATTTTAAAAAAATATTGCATAATTGCATAGGAGTTAACGTGTCCAACACTTTGGAAAGCTGGCAAAAGATTATGTGTGCTTCAGTAATTTTCCTTACAATAAGGTCAAAGAGCGAATTTTGCATACATAATACAACTGCAGTGTGCATTTCCCAAGAGTCCCTTAAAGTAACTTGAACTCCAATCTGGGTTTGCTGGTTTAGTCAAGTTTTATTTTGTTTGGGTTGCAATATTGTGGCATAGCCCAAGTCCTGAGGCTGCATTCCAATTAATGCCTCCAAAGAAAGTCCCGGGCCCTTTCAGCTCACAACCTGCTTCTATGATTTCAACTCAGCAGGGACGCTGGTGAAACTATAAGCTACCGCCATGTTGTAAACCAAGCAAGTTAAAATAGCAGAAGCAAATATTTCTGTTTCTAAAAATGCACTAATTCCTACTGTTACCACACTAACTCAGGCTCTATCAGATATTACAATCACTTTCTAATTGGTTTTCCTCCCTCAGCTCTCTTTCACTAATCCATCTCAGAAGGTTCAGTACGTCCAGGACTTTTTCCAGTATCCATCCATCACGACATTATTTGATCAAATATTTGTTTAAGGCCTACCATATGCCACAACTACAGCAGTGAATATAACATACAAAATTATTCCCTTTATGGCGCTGACATTACCGTGAGCTTGCCTCCATCCTGCTAAGGTGAAGAACAACTTGCCACTGCATTCAGAACAAAGTTCAACCCACTGAGGCTAAAAGTCACTGTAGAAATGACTATGTGCTCACTAAAATCTGTTCTCCTAAGACAGTAACCCTACACCTCCCAGACTCCCTTGCAGTTAGATATGTCCAAATGGAGGGGTGGAAATAAAATGTGCACATCTCTAGGTCTGACCTGTAAAAGCCTCTCACATACAATGCCCTGCTCCAGTCTTTCTTTCCCTACAGGATGAAGAGCCAGCTGAATGTTGGGGACATCAAAAACTTGGCCCAAAACGAAAAGATCCTGATACCCTGAGTTACCATAAGGAAGTCTAGCCACCAAACACCTGCAATGAACTGTGAAAGCCTGAACTCCAACACAGACAGAGGATTTCAGTTTTCTCCCCATCTCACTAGTGCCTATTAAAATCCTGCTTCATTTTGACTCAATTATAAATTGGATCAAAAATATCACCAAAAAAAAATCATGTCCTTAGCCATGCTTCTCATGTACAAAGCCTCATAGACCCCTTCATTTCCCAGGAACCGCCTCTACTTTTCCATCTCTCTTCTCTTAGCTCTACTCCTGTATTTTTGACACATGCATAAGAGCTTAATCCTGAAATATGACAATGGCTTTGTTTCCTCTAAGGTAGACTTTTATGGGTGCAGGGACATGTCCTTTGAGCTTAAGGAAACATCTCGATGAAAATTTGCTAAATTGAAACACAAGCCATCAGATGTAATGAGCTCTGAAAACTAGATGAACTTTCCAAACAACTTTAAATACAGGATGCCAATGCAGTGGTACAGTTCAGGGCTGTCTAACTCACTTACCTTTGTATTTCCTTGGATTGTGCACATTTTAAGTACTAAAGGTTTGTTGGCACTGATATTTAACCTCAACTTGTAAAGCTGGGAGGATTGCTAGTAATCTGTGTATTTTGCTAAATTTTTGATATTTTAATATTTATTTTAACTTTGGGGGTTACATTTTTGCTTTTCTACATGTGCACCCTCTACCAATCCCTCCTCTCTCCCTCCCACCCCATTCCCTCTGGTAATCATTACATTCTTTCACTAGTACAAGATTTATTCCTACTATAATTCTGCCTATGTATGCTTTCTGGTTATTTAGTAGCAGGATACAAAATCAGTGGCATTTCCACATGCAAATAATATATGAGAATAAAGGAAAATAAGGAATACAATCCTATTTATAATCATGTCAAAAACAATGAAGTGCTTGAGTGTAAACTTAACAAAGGAGGTGAAGGACCTCTACTTTACAGTGGAATATACTGGAAAGTATAAAACTCTGGTAAAGGAAAATTTCTTAAAGGTTAAAATACATAAGGAATGAATTACAATATTCTCACATGTTTAACAAAGAAAGAAATGTTAGCAACTTCCATACTGCTTGTACGTTAGGGTTTTCATAATATACGTTGCCTTGGAAAGATAAGTTTATACTTTAAAACTGTCGTTCTTTTAATTGCATATGTAAGCATTTCTCCAAATGTAGCTGGTTTAAAAAATAAAAGACATGGAATTTGTCCCAGGTTTATTTGCTGTCCCCTTATTTTCATTTTGGCTGATTCAGTCAAGCACACAATGGCTGTGTGTCAAGGTTTACCCAGAGTAGCAGTTTTGTTGCAAAATAAAAATCTATCTTCCTGAATACAGTGATGAGTGCAAGATGATAAAACCACAGCCATGTGCATACCCGATGATTCTCCCACCCCGAGGACTGCTGTGAATAGGGGCCTGGAAGCCATCCTGGAGCATGTGACAGGGCACCCAGCCGTTGACCAGGACCCAGAGCCTGGCCCCCTCACAGGAGGCAGGAGCAGAGTAGTGCAGGGCTCACCCATGACAACCAATCAGTTACATTTGCCCACACTCTAGAACAATTATTTCCCCAATAATCACTTCCTTGAAAAGAATGGAGCTCACCATTGATGCTAAATGAAAGTGGGAAGAAGGAGAGAGAGACTAGAGGGGTTAATATAGGGGAGAAAAACATCTAGAGTGCAAAGGATTTCTGTGTGGCCCATAATTCTTATGTGACAACAACCACTGGTGCAAAGCTGATGTGTGAGTCGAGCGCCTACTCAATTACAAATTGGGTCAAAAAGAAAATCATGTTCTTAGCCATGCTTCTTTTTGGC